GGATACAACGAGGGATTTCGAGCTTTGGGTATCCCTCTCTCTTTCGACATGGGTTGTCAAACTAAGGGTAAGATCAGATCTTGAAACACACAACGAATAGTCGGATGGCGAATGGAAGAGACGGCTAATTGATTGACAGACGGCTTGATTAAATGTGTTTTTTGTAAACGCTGTCAGCCTCATAAACAGGTTGGATCAATAGAGACAACTAAGACAACTAACCTTCCAACACCAATGGTAGATATTTTTAATTTTCGATATGGATATTCTTCAAAGTGGGTTCTACACAGGTAATTGCTAGGCAAACTTGTAACCAATACGAGCGCTTTCCTAGTCTTTATTAGCATCAAGTAGGGACAAAGATAAGGAGTACGGACTGGTAACACAAAATTAAGATAAGTAGTTGCTGCGTCAGCAATCCAACACCCGCAATCACTACATTATGCATTTCTGAAAAGATGGGACCTGCGAGCATCCTAAAACTATGCATATTACTTGCATGACCAATTAGTCTCTCCTATTTCATATTTTACAGATGGGCTATGGACACAAATCTATCGACTCGGAGTGAGTGGAGCGAAAATGTTTTTATGTATACCTTATTATAAAGATGCTCGTGCAGGCCTATCATGTAAAGCCTCGTTTTAAACGATTGGTCATTCAAGTTTAAGAGCACGCAGCTTAACGCTTCAATATCATGCTTTCTCGCACGAGGATGATTGAAAAGAAAGAGGATGATAGCCGTTTTCATTTTTATCCTCTTCCCTAACACGATATCTTTCACCAAATTTTATACGAGCATCTTTGTGATGTAAGAATTGTTGTGGATCATCCTGGCTGCGTACATCTACCCTCTAAAAGAACAATGGTCAGTCAAATAGATTGGCATTGGACAGTCTTTACAGATGTTTATAAGCTTCAGCCAGAAGCTGGCTACCTGTGCAAGTATGTCATACCCATTTTCAGCACGCTTCATTTTGAGAACAGGGATGGCAAGGCATCCATTAAGAGTATGAGTCGGATATTCACGAAGAAGAACAAAATATGCAATGGCGAGTAGTTTGACATCCAGTTGTGAAATTTCACACCCTCCTGATTTTGGCTCGCTGCGAAGTAAAATCTTTACGCTAATTTCTCGCCCGATAGTCCGAAACCCGACAAGGGTTGTAGTTAAGTAGGAAGACTTAGTATTAAAGATGCAATGAGTGCACAGTTGTAATTTCGTAAGAATGTCAAGCAACATTTGAAAGCAATAGCAAGAAAATTTGCCAAAGACAATCAAATTTTGTCGATTGTACATTATGATATGCAGAGATGATTTCTCAAGTATTTTACAATGCTGAAAATTACTCCTTTTGATTACGCTGCATATTGCACTTTCAGTTCGAATTTTGACTGTGTACGTTCTGTTTGATAGTACAAGTACAGTAGATTATGCCGTTCGTCCGGAATGCCAATTTCCATAGCATCCCCATCATTAACTTGGAACGTATTTCCTATGCGATGAAAATCGTATAATAACGCATTTTCTGTACGATATATTTCGTCCGATTTACCCTTACACCACCGCGGTCGTCGATTCGCTCGCATGTACTTACATTCGCACGGCTTTCGAAGAGACTCAACAAGGAATTCGAATTTTGAATGTTGTTACTATTGACATGAATGAAAGCGCAATCTCTCGATGAACTAGCGGTACCAAAATAAATGACGACATTAGAGCTAGCCTGAGTCCTTCACCGCGATTCTGATCAGAAGGTGGTGACTATGCTGTTTTCAAATTCTGACTTAAGAATAATAATAATGCTACATGATATTTCGAAACCCTATTCTTTGGTACCTCTATCCATAATAATAACAACCATTTCGGCTAAAATCAGTAATAGCAACTCATTTCCTACAGTATTTACTTTACTGGCGATCCTAGAAAAAGCAAGCTTAGTTTAACGTATATTTCTTTTTAAAATATTGGAATCGACCCTATTGACGAGATTAATTATTGAATAAAAAAGACAGGTCAAATTTCGCACCGAATCCGAGAAAGCTAACCTACCGTGGCTTTGCCGTCGTCACAGATTCATGAGAACTTCGACGATTATCCGGCCAACCGTGTTGGGATTACACCACTGAATGCATGTTGAACAGGTGGATGACGTCATACTTATTACAAGTACGTCACCTTAAGTAATTACGGACTAAGTGATT